AGCAGCAGAGTGCTCTACCTCCCCTGTCATCTTCAGTACATTCAAAGGAATAAACATCTTCCATAGCTAGTAAATCTCAAAGCCGTTATCAACATGTGGAAAATAAGTGTTGCCTCAGACACACTTACCCTAGGATGGGATTATTGCTTAAAGGTGATAATATTGTGGAATAATCCTTTTATAAGTATTCTTTTACATAAAGCCATTTTTAGAAAAAAAGAAAGCTGCAGGTATAAACCTTTATTTCAGCTGTAGAAACAGATACTTTAAGCTTTAAAGTCTGTAAATCCACATGATACCAAAATTGATTCATGCCTGTGGTTTGAAATAATTTTTAATACAAAGACATTAATTTAAATTTTTTCTTATTGTTTAGAAGTAAAGAATGCAGCTAGACCAAGTTATCCAAAATGTTTATATCAATTCAAGAGTGCAACTACTAATGCATTGGCGGGTGCCAAGTCCACTGAAGGAGTCCCGGAACCTGTTCCACTTGTTAATAACCGTAAAGGGAGTCTCTTCCTACCCAACAACCCCTCGCTGCTGCACCTTAACTTATTGAATTCTGATGAACAAGGAAAATCTACGTACTGTAGATTGCAAAGGGCACTCAGCTTGCCTGTAAAATACCGCTACCACTCCCAAAAGCCTGGGTTGAACCAAGATCTCCGTAGGTAGCCCCGTAGTTGGATGCATAAGGCAATACAGATTGGTTTGTGCATGGTTTTGCAGTCTGTTTTCAATGTGGCTATGACATTACTAATGCTCTGTTAAGTGCTTACAGATGTGGGTTTCTCCAGATGTGGTGATTAATAAGTTAATTAAGATAGCTGGTCAACTAATGTTTCTGGGTGGTTTGTGCTTTACCTTTCGTATGGTTTATTTGCTCTGAAGCATTTACATGCTAGGCAGAATGAGTTTGCCAGGTATTCCAGTTCTTGTGATGTTCAGTAACGTAGATATTATTTCAAATTCTAGTTCTTTTTGGGGTCTAAAAAACAGTGTCTGTAAACTGCTCTGCTAGTGACCTGGGAGAGGCAGTGAAGGAGGCAGATTTATTTAAAAGATGGTAACAAAATAACAAAGAAAAGAGTTATGAACTTGTCCACTGTTTCTGAAAGACATTTCCTTTATTTTGCTTAAAAAATGAAACGAGGATAAAAGTCAAGTAATACGTTGTTACAGATGTTCAGCTCCACATTAAGGCTGTTAAAATTACCAGCACATCTTAAATCAATTCATGGAACGTTGTCTGGAGGTTATGTCATTGAAATAATGAATCCTCTTTACTCAAGAATAAGCAAACATGTTAAAACATCAGTGTAACTTTAAATTAAACTCCAGCATAAACTGGAGCATCTGAAGCCTCATTAGACTCGCCTGACATTTTTCTAGCACTGAGTCTTCCTGAACTGCCAAACTCTTAGATTCTCTGCCTATTAGACAAGTGAGCACTGGGTTGTTACAACAGTACATTAAGTGCCATACTTAGGGATGTGCAAACAAGCTCTTGAATTTTATTAGAACTCAGAGGCTGGATTGAGTTCCAGTTCTATAAAATTCTGTGTCCAATTCTTGAACTTCTTCGCAATTTTCATGAAAGCTGGTAAAGAAAGTCTGCATAATGTAAGATGACTGTATTTTAATACAAATCTTGTAGCATAAAGACATCAAAAATACTAAAAATGGGGGCACATTCTCATTAACAAAAGTACTAGGTCAAACATACAACATCAGAGTTCAGTTGTCATATATCACAGTCCATTATTCAAATATGGTTGTCTTTCATAAGAACAAGTAAATTTAAGAGTCCCTTTTAAATTAATGCAGACACAAGAACCATGAAACTAAAATGATATTTTATGGCTTTACTAAAAATTTTGCTAAATCTATTTCTTTAAATATGCAGGAAATTGATAAAAGTATCTGAAGGATAATAATTAAATATGGTTTATATTCTACTTATTACTAAGAAGCCGCTTGTGAGTTATCATTGCAACACTTTTGGGAACCAAGCCATAGGTAATGGTGTCCATTATAGACCATTCACATATTTCAGCTTCATGGATTCCCTTCCCCCATTCTTATGGAGTGGTGTTTCTAAACTGCAGATGCCCTGTAAACTCTGCACACAGATTTCATTGAAAAACAAAATCTTGTTTGCATGTGATATGATTAAGATAGATCACCTTTCATTGCTGGAGTGAGAATGAGTGGCTTCCTTGCTGAAGCAAGGCATTGTTTTAGCAACAAATTGAGATCCTTCAGAGGGCTTTGCTAACAGGTATTACCTAGTGAGCCACATTGACCTTGGACTTTCCAGGCAATTAGTGACAGTAACTTAGTTTGAATATGACAAGCACATATCAAAAGAGCTTATTTATTGTAGATACAGTACCAAAAATAACTGCAGACTGCTAGAAATCTGGTTCTAGAAATAGTTCCTCTGGTAGTCTTACTAGTAAGACTTTGTTTTTTAATTGGATGACAGGGTGGCATCACCTGACAGCAATGGAGAACACAAATGTTGGACCATGTAATACGAAAAGGTCCTTACTGTACTAACTTTCAGTATTTGAAAGGATCAGACAGGAGTCTTATTAGCTAGCTGAAAACTTGGAAAAGTACTCTTTTTTTTCATAGTGTTTTCTATTGTTCTTAGAAACATTTCCAGCTATAACATGATCTCCAGTTTACTTGTGTTAATGTAAGACTTTGTACATGGTCCTGTTGGCTATATATCTTCCTTAAATTGTTAAAATAGTATAACAATACACTGATGGTGCAATACTGGACAAACATTCTGTAACCTCATGGTAGCAGATTAAGTTAAGAGAAATTTAGAATTTTTACTACCAAGAGAGCAAAACATATCAGTTATAACTGGTTTCTGGAAGGAACATTTTGCATGGTTCTTGTTCCTTTGATCTTTTAAGTGGTGGATTCATCAGATTGGAACTGAATATTTATATCCTATAAAGAATGGGAGAGCACAGTCTATATCTTGAAAGCAGCCTATTGTCTATCTGGAATAGCATGTGAATAACTTTTTGATAGACAAGTATAAGACAAGATTAGGCCATTTCCAAGAGAGTGATTTGCAGAGGGTGTTCTGAAATGCAGAAATACTTGCACTTTGTTATAATCAGGAACAGAAAGATATTACTAACAAAATAATTCTGTGTGTTTTCACTTCATGTTACAAATAGCTAAATACTGAAGTGATCTAGTTTAATCCAAACTGTTACAGAAAGAAAATTTCAATTTGTATATTTTTGAGAATTTTCTATGGGCTTATTTATCTCTCAGCCAAGCAAAGAATAGTACTTGACTAATCATCAATAAGCATTTCCACTATAGGACTCTGACTTGGGGAAAAAAAAAGGCAAATGGTAAGGAAATGGCTTTGTCTTTGGGGATGCTGCCCAAGAAGAAAAGGAAGTTAAGTTAGTGAAATAAATTATAATTAGGCAGTCATTGCTCTGATCATTTATTTTGGGGTTAGCTTTTGTTTGTTTATTTGTTTTTCTTTTGCAATGCTTTCTTTTGTTTTGATTCCTTTGATGTGTTAGGTGATGCAAGATCATTTAAAAAGACAGCACATCTGTCTTTTCAGGGCTCAGTCCTTCCATCTTGACCAAGGCAAAATGGAGTTCCATAGCAGACTTGGGCAAACAGACAGACATGACAGGCTAGAATGCAGTCTGTAATAAAATAGTGTCAGAAGAGGGTTATAGCAGAAGGATATTGCTTAATTTCTTCCCAGATAAGTCTAGGGCAGGTGACAAATATCCAGGTTTTGTTGTTGTTCCTATGTAGCTTGTTGCAAATAGAAATTTTTTTCCAGCCTCTGCTTGTGCACTGCTAATGTGTATTAAGCTCTTTTAATATAGCTGCTACCACAACTACTACTACTAATCTCTTTCCTTTTGGCTTTAAAGTAACAGCTTCCTAGGCATCAGTTATATCATCTTCTAGTTCATTTTCCAGTTAACAATAGGATGGGGAAAAAAGTGTATTTTTCCTTCTTTATATTAGAATAATTCAACATTAGTGTGAATTTGAGAAAGCAGGCATAAGATAATTCCCTTTGATAGTACTGTAAACCTTATGTGCAGATTATCAAGTGCAGTAACAATTTTGAAACGGTAAAGATGATGGTTAATTCCTATAGATGGGTTAGGAAGCTGCACTTGTTTAAGCAATGTGTATTGTGACATACGTTATCCAAGAGTAGTTTATAATTGGCAAAACCGTAAGTGATTTTACGTCTGGAAATTGATCTGTCATTGAAAATGCACCTCATCCTCATTAAAAGATTGCATAACACATGCATCCTCTGTTACACAGGTATTGTCTCCCCACTCCATTCAACCTCATTCTGTTCACTCCTGTTAAAACTCCCTTTCGTGAGAAGGGTAGAGCAATGAGGTCTGACTTGTGCTGGAGATCTGTGCACAATGGCAGGCTGCGTTCACATTCCCGACTAACTGAATCATTGAACATCAAGGCATTGAATATTCTACATCTCTTCATGAAGACTCTGTTGTTTGGCATGTGAGGAGCAAGAACCAACTGGTGTCTAGTTCATTAGCAAAAGCAGGCTGGCAGCTGTTACATTGGTATTGCAAATAGTACTTCATCTTTCTGGGAATATAGCAGAGCACTAATTCTACTTTTCTGTAGCGCAGATTAACTGAAAATAACTCTAAGAATAACCCGAATGTGGTCCCCCATCCCGTCCCCCCCCCCCGCTTTGTTTTTGAAGTATGAAAACAATTTGAACGCCTGTGTTCAAAACCCTGGTATTCTTCCCTGCTTCTCCTTCAAACCAACCTCTTGGACTAACATGTATTTGATTTTTATTACTGTTGGGCCTATGTTAGCAATGAAGTATCAGTGCGTGAATGGACATAGAGTGTGTGTTCTTTGCTACTTCACTTGTATTTCATATTGCACTTAGAGCGGTACTTAATCTCATGAGTTCCTTATATTTCCAGTTGAAGATGAGCAGCCATCGACACTATCACCCAAAAAAAAGCAGCGAAATGGAGGCATGCGAAATTCACCCAACTCCTCACCCAAACTGATGAGGTAAGACTGTAAGAAACTCATATCTTCATCTCCTTTCTTCCTTCCTTCCTCTTCGCCTCCCCCCACATCAAAAATAAGGGGAAGGGGTGGAAAAAAAAAGATTGTTAGATGGTTTCTGAAAGGCTGAAGTATTTATTCTGTCAGCTTGTCAGCAGTTAATGATAGAGCTGAAAAAAATTCTGTCATGAAAAACAGTTTGAAAAGCTGTTTGAAAAATACATAGGCTTTAAAGTCTTAGCTGTCACCCTGTCCTGTCCATGTGTAGTTCTTAAACAGCAGTGGCACTAATGATAGCACTAACCAATCAGGGGAACTCATGTGGTTAGTTTGCCTCAGGCAATTCTCTTTTTGTTGGATTCCCTCTGAGTACTGTTTTCTGTACTTAAGGCCATATGTGAGATGTATCATCACAATCAAAAATGAACCTGAATATTACCTTCCTTTTATCCTGTCGATTGAAATCAAATTTCTGTTAATTGATTTAGACTGATAAAAAAGTCTAATAATCTATGTACTTGCCAAAGCGAAGTTCAAAACTAATGCAGTTTTACTCAGGCTAAAAGCACATTAATTATGAAATACAGGGATTTTTAAGAGGGTAGTATATACTCTAAAAGTGGGTGACGAAAAAATAATGTTGTTAGTGATATTTTTCCCCTGTTGCTATGTGTATGCTATTTTACATCTGTACACCTTTGTATAACTGTGTAGTTTCCTTCCATAGGACAAATTTGTTAAAACTACAACTGCAGCACGAAATTGGAATCTATTAAAATAATAAGGCATTTGCTTTCTGTCTTACTGTGCTTCACCTTTTGCTTGCTCAAGTGAGTCAGAACACGATCAGATAGCAGATGTGGAGTTTTCGACAAGGAGGCTGTTCCTGCTCTGGTTTTGCATGTGTGAAGTAGCCAGGCTAGAACCTCGGTCCATAATTGTATCCAGAGCTAAATACCATAGCAGATATTTTCTACTGCATATATATACAGAAAAATGTAAACCGATTTACGTATATAGACAGACACATTCATCCAGTTTGGGTGTGTGTGTAACAGTAACTGTTCTGCAGTGACAGAGGTTAAGTGAAAAAAAAAAAATAATATGAATATGTAGTTCTTTATAGATATAAAACAATTCGTGACTTTTCCTTTTAATCATTGTTGACAATGATTTTGTTCCTTTAACAATTCTGGATACAGCTAGGTAATATTCCTCCTTGTATTTCAGTCAGTAGACTGGAAATTTTCTTTGGCCAGTTACAGAAACATCCATATTTGTTTATTCTTGCTGCAATATAGGGCATATTCAAGGACATAACTTCTACCAGTCGTCTTCATCTCAGTTTAGGCTACAGAACCAAAAGTGAGATTGATTCACAGAAGAAAATGCACCCAGCTGTGGCTTTTTTTTCCTATTGACCATCTATTTCTGTTAAATGTATCATTAAAAGTTCTCTGCCTTTCTGTGAGCTCAGCCTTGCCCATATGACACTGATTTACATGCTTGTTTACAGTTTATGAGGAAGAATAAAATGAACATACTGGCAAGCTTCTCATTTTTATGGTGCCAGTTGTCATGCTAGCATCATTTTCAATTTACTTACCTTTAGACAGTCTTCTTATCTAGTGTTAATAGTGTTAACCACTTAAAGTTTTAAATATGTGGGAGATTCACTCCCCAAGCGCCATGCCCCCCCCCTCCCCCCCCAATCCTAATTTTGGGGAAGTGGAAATAAAGAGAGGGAGGGAGAAAAAGCTGAAACATTTGGAGCTGAGCACACTGCCCCTGTTTGCTATGTAAAGTATGCCTCATTTCTTTGATCTTGAGTAATAATAATTCTGGGGAGTTATACTGTTTTCATATGCTTCAAAGCTGTGTCAAAGTTTTGCTGCTTAAGGGTACTTCTTTATTCTATTGGCTCTTGGGTACTGAGATGACAGGTCCTCTGTACTAGGTGCAGGCTTTTTCAAGTCGTAGCCTTCAGCAAAACATCAAATTACCAAATACAGGGTAACATACTTCTACACAAATGCCTTTCCTGTAGATATATTATACCATATATATTAAATACTTTAGTGTTACACGGTACATTTTATGTGCAATAGAAAGTGATGGTTTGAGGTAGCCTTAGGGGTACTTTTTTCCACAAGCAGAAAAAGCTAGTGTATACCGTATCAAGTATGGTTTTTACAGGACTTTCTGCCCGAAGGCCTTTGTAAATAAGTAATGATCAACAGATTGGCTGTGGGTTTTTGAAAAGCATGCCTGTGTCAGTTTGCATGATGGGGGAAGATTTTCAAAGTGGAGCCTGCTTTCATTGCCTGCTGAAGAGGGACTGAGGGAGAGTAGTCGTCCTGAGCCTGAGCTGTCTGCTCAGTAGCACATCAGAATTGCTAAACACAGGTCGTGCAGCGAGTGGAGAACTTGCCAGGCTTCCAAATCCAGGCATTGTTTTCTTCCTCTTCTCCCTTGCTGCTAAATTTATTCACCAGCCCTGTACTGGAACCCTCAGCCTCTCCCCAGACCCAACCGTCTCTTTGTCTTACCCTTTTTCTACACTGACTTAACTTTGGCTCAAGGTGCTAAATAAGAGAAAGTGGAATGAATCAAAAGAGAACTCTCTTAAGCTTTGCGTGTAATGGCCAAACACTTTTCTCCTTTCTGAAAAACAAAGGTGGGCTGTATTATCTGCTATTTTGTATCCTCCTAAATTACCTAAAGTGACAGGTACTTGCTCTCCTGCCCAGAAATCTTTAGTGTATGTCAGCTAAAAGTACACAAGAGGTAAATCAGCTGAAGCACTGTCATGTCTGTAGCTGATACTTATCTTTGCAATATTTTTCCTAAATTTACTTTAAAAGCTCCTTTTCAAAGCCAGCCTCACCCCTGCCCCTCCCACAGGAGCAGCTGGCAACTTTGCACACTTTTCCTCAGCTGCGGTCCTGGGTCTAGAGGGGGCCTGGAGGACAAGAAGCCTGGAGCGTGTGAAAGAGGAATACGCAAAGAGTTCATTTATAAATTGTAATCAGAGCTGTGCCTCTAGAATTACTTTCTGAGCAGCCCAACGGTTAAGATAATGTTGAAAATGCTGCATAGATTTTAAATTTCCACAGCGGCGGGGCAAATCAGGGAAGACGGTATTACGCCATGAGATAAAACTTTATGACTTCTGCTATCACTGGAATAGAACAGAGGACAGAAGGTATATCACAGGTATTCCCTGGGACATCATGACAAGAAGTCTGACAGGTGCTTATTTAGACCTGGTCAGAAAGTGGGAATTTTTGAGATTTACTCACACAGAAGTAGAAAGCTGTATTACCAAATATGATTTGGACAGATAGATTGAAGACATCTTTTCAATGTCATCTTTTTGATGTTATTGTCTCTAAATGCCAATAAATTACTAACTGAAATAAATAGATGGTAGGCATACAAATGTTCTTTGTGTATATCACAAATGGTCTACATTCTCATTTAGAAAGTTGCTGTTCTAATGCTGAATCCTGCATTGCATCAAATGACATGAGCAGAATCACACTGATACAATACTGGAAGAATCTAATGAATCAGGAACAAATCCTTCAAATTCTAACTAAAGCTACAACTGCAACTTAACTAGAAAAATGTTCTGCATTGTCATGGGAATTTCTATCGGTTTTGCGTCAGCAGAAGTCTGATGTAAGGAACAGGAACATGGGTATTATTTAAAAATAACTCAAAGTCCAACAGGAAAAAAACCAGATAATTCTCCTGTGGAGATGTGAACACAAGCACATCCTATTACAATAAAAAGTAAAATTAAAATAAGAAATGGAAGGAAAAGTAAGGAAAGCTGTGAGTAGCAGAGTAATCTCATATCAAGTCTCCTTCATGAGACAGAGAAGAAAAGTAGAACCGTTTGATGCCTCTGGTGTCATGCAGTGATATCAAGTCACCTGTTCATCATCTACAGTCACAGGTTTTGATGCATGTTATTGATGAACAGCCACATTGAATACGAAGAGGCTATGTTGCCTGAATATGAAATAGCTAAGATAGTTTTTTTAAAAAATGTGTCATTTTGGATTCCAGAATGACCAGTAAAAATGTGAAAAGCCCTGGATATGAATCAAAAAAGCCACTTAAAAGGATTGTTGCTGGGGCTCAAGTCCGCACTTAAAGCTTTGGTAGCTGCTACTGCATGAGTGGAATACACTGACTTGAAGGAAATGTCAGCCCAGCTGAGTCAAACTACCTCTTAATGCAAGAACAAATAGCATATGACAGGGCCCAAGGGGCCTGAAGAGCAAACAAATAGTTTGTCCCTGTCCACTCTGAATGTAGTGGTGTAGTTGACATAGGCCTCTAGACAAGTAGCATACTCAGCAAAGGGTCATTATCATTAGTGTCCCTGATCACATAAGAATCAGAGGACGCTGGGTTTTCAGTGTGTTGCCAAGGAGAATTTCATAAGCCTGGGGATTTTTCTTGATCAAGGATCTAAAATAATTCCCAACCAAACCATAAAATTTGCTCAGAGACTGTCATGTCCCAGCAAAGTGACACAGAAAAAAGTGAGCTTTTTGGCATACGTTTCCGGAAACCTAATGAGATCATTTATCTGAAGTTGAGGGGAAAACCTCCTGTCTTTTTTCCTGAAGTTGGATATAATATTCTAAGTATACGAATAATAGCTGTGCACATTTATCTCCTCATCCGCCCACCCAGCTATATACACTCGAATGTACACACACGTTTCTGCTAATGCCACTCAGGATGAATTTGTATTGCCCCTGTCATTATAGCATGCCCTTCTACAAACTGGAACTGTGAGCTTTCTCATAGGAACCAAAAAAGTGATGGGAGAAAATTTAGAGGTGAACATTTCTCAAGCAAAAACTGGTAAAGTAAGTTCAATCTGATCATTTTCCATGACTCCCCTAAACCAGGCATGAAGGTAAGGTTCGAAGAGGTGAAAACTCTCTGATTAACCATAGTAATGGTTTGTGTTTATGTCC